GCCTGGCCCTTCTTGTGGCTGGGGGGCGGGCCTGCGTAGTTGTCTGTTGCCACGGTGCATCTGTTTGAAGGTGTATTTGCCACGTTTATTGGCCACTCTTTGTGACCCGTGGCCTGCTGTAGCTTCCCAGGATTGCCAGTAATCCCCCTGTTGGTGGCTGTGTCGGCTGCTGCTGGTGTGGTTAGGGCGCTGTGGTCTGATCCCTCCCCACCCGGGAGTTTCCCAGGGCGGTGGGCGGGCACCGTGTGGTGGCTGTTGTTGGGTGGTTTCCCCTGACAGGTCAGGGCGCGGCTGTTGTTGTGACGGAGGTTGCTGCTGCTGTGTTGTGCCGACTGTGTCGTGGTTTTGGGGCTGGCTATGTTCTGCAGTTGTGGTGGCTTGTGGGTCCGTGCTGGCCCCGGACCACTCCATCTCGGGAGGGATTTCCCCCTGATATGTGCCTGTCTGGCTCTCGTACCATTCCCGTTGATTGCGAAGCTCCTGCTCGGTGAAGATGCTCTGCCCGGGGTTGTCGACGGCTGCTGCCTGTCCCCCTGTGGTGGCCGGCGTTTCGGGTGTGCCTTGGAGCAGACGTTCATCCCACGGGGGCAGGGATGGCGGATCGTCGACGTCGGCTGGACTGGTTGGTGTTGCATGGGCTTGTGGTGCCTGCGGGCTCTGCTGTGGTGCCGTGCAGGTCGTGTTTGGTGGTTCGGACTGTTGTCCCCCGACTGGTTGCTGCTGTGGTGGAAATGTGGCGTCTGCTTCACATGTGGTTGCTGGTGCTGTAGCTTCCTCCTGGCGCGCTGAGGAATATGGGGTGTTCCATGGATCATCGTCTGGGTTATATGGCTTGGCATATCCCAGTCTGTAGAAAGGTGCTGCTGGCATGGTGTGCGGGGCTTGTCGTTGGGCTGTGGGGTCCCCCTTTGTGGAGGTAGGAGGGGTGGGGGTGTCCCATGCCGACTGCTGTGAGTGGGCTGTATGTGTTGAGGTGCCCTGGTTGGGAGCGGGATGGTAAGCCGGCTGTGTGTGAGTCTGTGGTGGTGGTGGTGCTGTGCTGGAACTGGCTCGCTGCTGCTGTTGCATCGGTGGTGTCATCTGTTGGTTCTGTATCTGGTAGGCTGGAGGTGGGAAGTATACCTGTGTGTGTCCTCCTTGTTGGTAGGCTGCATTCGGGGTCATGGAGTATCCCCCCCATGTGGTATATGGCACTCCTTGGGGGCTGATGTGAGTGGATTGCCAGGTGAGCTGTGTTGGAGGTGCCATGTTTGGGTCTTGCATCCATTGTGGCATCCAAGGTGTGGGCGGCATTCCCCCCGGTGCCAATGCTTGCTGTGCTGCCGCGGTGGCCACGTGGGGCTGTTGCGGGTGCTGCGGTGGCTGGGGGCCACTGTTTGTGTTGCCTGCTGTCCCCCCGGGTCCGCCCTGGGGTGGGGTGCCACCTCCCTGTCCCCCCAGGCTCGCAACGATGACAACGACAGTTGCCAAGGCAGTTGCCAAGGCGATCATCCTTCGGATCGTCTTTGCGAGAGTGCGCACTGTAGGGCGCGGAGATCTAGTGTAGATCAGAAGCTGTCTGCTCAGCGCAAAGTTAAGCGTGTAGGGCAAGTGCAGGTAGGTACATGTCGACAAAGTCACGGTGTTCGAGACAAGGAGAGCGCGGTAGGTCAGGTTGATCAAGTTCACATTCGATCCCCCTGCTATGATTCCTCTGTCCATTCTCCCAGAGGCTTTTTCAGAGACACTAAGGCATTGGAGGCATTCTGCAGCAAAGCGTGTAGTGGCAAGTGGGCGTCAGCTAGTTGTTCCCCCGATATATAGTGCATGCACGTCAGGAACTGCCATGTAGCCGCGGCCCCTTCTGTCTTTTCACTTCCACTTCGCGGAGAAGGATCCTCGGTCTGGGTCCCCCTGTTGGCTGCAAATCCGAAGAGTGCTGTTTCGCTCTCTGCATCATCAAGCAGTCGGAGGTGGGAGGGGAATGGGATCCTCTCCCCGGTTCTCCGGGCTGGTGCTTCTGTGTGGTGCAAGGTTCATGATGCTTGTCTGCCGTCCAGATGCCCACGGTACGTCATATTTGTCAAGCCATGTCTGCAAGAGTCCTGACCACTGGCCTCGGTCCATGGCGATCTCGTGCCAATTCTCCCCCGCCACAGAAGTTATTTGCCGATCAATATCCATGTACGCGTTGAAACGCCCCGCATGACTGATGTTCCCGTGTGGCGGTCTGTTTGCATTCCACCATGCTAAACATCTCCAACGGAGGAGTTGTCCCCCGACAGGATCGCCACGACACATGTGACCCAATAGCCCCCAAATCTGTTCCAGGATGATCGTGGACCATCTGCTGGCTGCTGGGTGCTTCTTGGTGATCCCATGACGGAAGAGTATCCCCCTGGTTCTGCGGAGAGTGTGTTGATTCCATGTGGTCCTCAGCATCCCCCCTTTTCATCCCGGCCATATCTCTGATATGAGCGAGCTGGATGGAGTTGGCTTGCTTCAATGTTTGTGCGTTGCACGGCCATGTGGCGCAGCCCCAGAGTGCCGATTGACGTACCAACATCGTATGCAAAATCATCTTTTTGGAAATCGGCGCCTTTGCCATTAACTCCCCCCGGTGTGTCCAGAAGGCTTTCCTCCACCTGGTCTGCATCGCTGCAATGACGATGCTGGGTGTGAGGTGGAACGCCATAGGGCTCTCGAGGACGGTCATGATGTGGTCCTTCCCTTTCGTCTGCACTTCTTTCCCTGCAACCTTGAAGGTGGTCTGCGTCTTATTGCTGATGATGTCGACTTTCCCCGGGTGCAGGAAGAGGCCCTTGTGTGGCAGTCGCTCCCCCAGTAAGTCGAGCATCTTCTGCATGTGGCTGTGCGACATCGACCAAATGTACGTGTCGTCCATGTAGCTACCGCCGTCTTCGGGAGGTGGGTCTCCCGTTGTTGGCTTGGCCCGCTTTGCTTCCCCGATGCAGTCGTCGAGGTCCCGAGCTACCACGGAGCCGAAAGCGACGGGACTGTCAGGGCTGCCTTGGCGAACTCCATTCGTCTGGTCGAGGTGGAGGGTGGCTCCCCGGAAGTTGACGGTCAGCGTGTCTGATCGCAAGAGTGCGACCCAGGCGCGGGCTTCCCACGGTTTTGCGCCATTCCCCGCTACGTCAGATTCTATGCGGGCTGCCATAGCTTCTTGGTAGACTGAGTCAGATGCTTTACGGATGTCGAGTTTCGTCACATACATCTCCAAGCCAAAGTCGAAGGCGATGCGACAGACCCTTCTGAGTATCATCAGCAATTCTACGCCTTGCCTATTTTTCCTCGAGCATTGAAGCCTTGCTGGTGTCATTACATCTCCCCCTGCTCGTAGAAGGAGTAGTTGGGAGAATGCCTTGAGTAAGGAGGAGCTCAAAGTGATCGGCCTCGTCTCCGTCCAATCGCTGGGGCTATCGGTTTTGGCCAAGAGGATGCTGACTCCCCTTTCTATCGACTGTGGTATGCGCGCTGTATAGAGCATATCGTTGAAGAGCTCTCGCATCATCTCCCCCCATGTTGCATGTTGTAACATGGCTTTCATGGCCTCGTGGGAGACCATGTCGGGGCCACAGGCACGGCCATTCTTCCACCTCTTGCGAATTGACACCAGCTCTTCCATGCTGAAGGGTATCCAGGGTGTTTCTTTTTCTCTCTCTCTCTCTCTCCCTCTCTCTCTCTCTTCACTTCACTTCNNTTAGAGGCTTTAAGGGGCAACAACAGTCAGAGCTCGGAAAAAGATATGGTTTTTTTTTTCTCTCTCTCTCTCTCTCTCTCTCATCACGACAGGCCCAGACTCTGCAAAATAGTGCATGCACAGGACTTCTCAAGTTCAGCCCAGAGGCTTCGTTAAATGTAACAACGAAGTCCTGGTTCCCCTCGCAATACGCACGCTTTACCGCCTCCATCGTCCGGGCCAGAGGCTCCAAGATGCCGAACCAGGGCCATGCCAGGAGCCCTACCATGACCGCCAAGATTAAGACCGACTCCGCCTGACTCCGGCGGCGGCTGTAATGCACTTTAATGGCCTCCAGATCCTGAATTCTCAGCTGCAGCTTCTTGGGCATCAGGGCGGAGAACACCATCTCGTCCACTTGGAGGATGGCCCCCAGCGCCTCGGAGAGGGGGCCAAGGCCGAAGACAAAAAAAGGACTAGTGACTAAGATCAGAGCTGAGCAGCCACGGCGTTGAGGATGAGGTCTTCGATTGCTTTCGTGCCGCCCAGCCAGAGGATTCCGGCGTAAAGAAGGGCTAAGGCTATCCCAGCTCTCAGCAAGCGAAGTCCGACATAAGACCAGAATCGCACGTACGACAACGTCTCAAACCTTCCCTCGTGATATCTGGTTTTGTCAGAGCGGGGAATCTGCAAAACCGCCTCCAGCGAGAGACCGATTGTGCGGAATTCATTCCCAACATAGAGGCACCTGGGAGCAGAAACGATACACTGTCTGCTGAGCACTGAAACTAGCCTGAATAGCCGGTTACGTCTCATGCTGGCCAAGGAACCACAGCAAGATGCAAAGCATCGACAGTAAGATGCCGGGTCGGAAGCCCTGGGTCTGGAACATGTCTTTGTCAAGCCCGAGAAAGTTGTCGATGTCCTGAACCAAGTTCGCCTGGCCATGCAGTGCCAGAAACACGCGTGCTAGAATGGAGAGATAGAAAAAGAGAGAGAGAGGGAGCGAGAGCGAGCAATGCCGATGGCTGCCTGGGAGTTGGAAAGGATCAGGCCACCATAGTTGTTGCAGACGCGGGCAGTGAGGCTTGTCCGAGCCAGGTCCATGTTCTTCGCATCGTGTGCTACGCTGTTCCTCCATTCCTGTGCTACAGTCACTTGCGCCTCGTCGAAGGGATCCCCGAGAAAAGACGGTGTTAGCAGGATCACGCTGAAGGTGATCTGCATCCCGGCACTGGCAAAGAGAAGCAGCCAAGCGATTGCCAAGTCGATCCAACCAACACCTGCATGGCCTGCCACTAGGACCAAATTCCAGGTCGTCTCCAGAAAAGCAACCGGATCCATTGGGTCTTCAGGCGGAGGCGGGGGATCGTGAACCTGGACATTGACGAAATCCGCCTTGTCCCCTATCGGTTTGTTGGGCTGTTCAGCCTGGAGCCGTGATCTCGACCCGTCGTCCACATCCGCACACGTAATCGTCTCCTCCACTTTGTTGCTCCGGCCTTCCATCAACTCCACTTCCAGTCGTCGCTCGAGCGCAGCCAGTCGCACAAGGCACCTGAGCACTGAACAGCTGAACAGCACACCAACAGCCTTGCTTCACTTGAACTCCTCGTGGCGACCAACCAGATTGGCGTGGTGCCCGTTCGAAGAAGCAAGCCCAAACATGCCATGCCAAGCGAAGGGAGAATCGGCTCATGAGTTTCAAGCTGCACTACCAAGGAGTTCTCGTCCCCAGCGCAAGCGAGGACTGGATCAAACCCCATTAACAGACATGTAGCGCACCCTTGCCCAGCCCGAACCCTTAGACGGTCCCAAGCGTTCTGCAATCCGCCCCTCGCGACACTTCTGGGAACTCCTAGGCTGGAAAAGGTAAAGGCACGGCTCCAGCTTCGCATTCAACTCCAGTTGAAACTCGTGTCGCAGTCGCCGCTCCAGATTAGCCACGTTCTTCTCAAGTTTGGATGCAGACATGGCCGACACAGGCCCAGGTACAGTTCAATGCTATTTCGGATAGCACGGTTGGCCAACGGCTGGCCTCGTGCTTCCAGGGCATGGAGTCTGCGCTAGCTCTGCATGGTTACATGCATGTTGCCACTGCTCTATGTGCTGATGCGCTAAGGTCTTGAACCTCAGACGGTGCCACATGGACCGTGCTTGTCGATGTAGCGCAAAACACAAAGACTTCTTCCAAGCCCATGCAAAACCTTCTTCAAGCCAGGCATGATGGACAACATGTCAATATGGTATTGGCGACTCACTGCAGAGAGCAGTTCCGCTTCGCGGAGCTCGGAGTGGAAAAGCACGTGCAAGATGCCGGTTGCTGCACAGCAGCGAGGAATAACGATGAACATAATAGCACTCAAACTCTCTGAGTTTCATAAACGTGCACATCGCGTCGCAGACGCTGTTCTGTTTCCAGGCACGCGACGAGATCCTGGCAGTATCAGGATGATAAAGTATGTGTGACTATGTCGGGGCGAGCTGGGGAGTTGAGGGGTTGGAGCACGAAGACACTCAGAATTGTCCTGGTGATCCTGGCTCTTGGCCAAATCGAGGGGAGTTAGCCTGGGTTTTGCACATGCACCCTCAACATCTGTCCTACTGATGAAGCCAGCTGCCGCCACAGGAGCAAAGTGTCTCCCCAGGTGGCCTCCACATCCGCATCATGCTCCATGAGAAGCATGGCAATCTGGCAACAGAGGACACGGAACATGGCCGACGGAACCACACCAGTGTGTGAACATCAAAGCATCAAAGCGTAAACACATACAGATGTAACCAACGGCCTGCAAGCTGCCGTTCAGAGCAGCCATATGCAGTGGCGTGCCCCCGTTCGACAAGGCTATGTTCCAGTGGATTAAGGTTGCATTGCCCATCTGGATCGCCTTTTGGCAAGCCCAGCAAACAGTTGCCCAAAGGCAGTTCTTAGCTAGGCCACGCAGGTTCGGGTCTGCTCGTGATTGCAGCAACAGCTCTGCATGTCCCGCATCTGTGTTGAAAAGGCAACTGAAGGATAGTGCTGTGGAGCCGATGTAGTTCATGAAATTTGGGTCTGCCCTTTGCTCCAACAATATTCGAGTGCAGTCGACATTCGATGCTCCTGCTGCTGCCAGGAGCGCGTTGCCACCCAAAGTGGTCGGATGATTCATGTCTCCTCGCCTCTCGATGAGTGTTCCAAGCACCGATGCATTGCCAAAGTAGGCAGCCTGCACGACCACCCCTGCGCCACTAAGACCAGAAGGAAGATCCAAGGATGCCCGCGCATCTAGTAGAGCCAGAACTGCCTCCTTGGAAGATAAGGACGCGGCCATCGAAAGTGCTGTCACAACGGTCCCGTGAATATGAGCCTCAGGGAGCCTCCAAGAGATGCGCTCATCAACTTCAGCTTTGGACTTCAACAGCTCCCTCATGACCGAAGTATTGCCCTCAAGGCTTGCCAGCATCAGAGGGGTCATTCCTTCGACGACCGAGCGAGCATCCAAAAGGCTGTATCGATCAAGAAAGTGGCCTAGGTCTTCATTCAGAAATTCTGCCTTGCCACGGGCTTTGGGTTTCAAGGCTTGGTAAAATCGCCAATGGCTCTGGCCGCTGCGCAGCAAGCTAGAGCACTTTGTCGCCAGGAGCTCTCCCGTCAACTCTTGCAGCACCTTTCTGTCCTCTTCGACTGTAAACCTTCCCTGGCCAGGCCAGCTTGTGACCCATTCAGGCCCTGCCGAGATTGCCATTCGAGTAGGGCTTGAAACCACGAGCAACGCTTTCCTGCCCTCAGAGAAGACCGTGGCAGTGCGCTCTGCACGGCACCAACCTCGACTACCTGGTGGGTTGACTTTGAGGACTTTTTCGACGTCATACATTGCTAGAGGCTCTTCTGTGCGGCCATAAGGCCTAAGCGGGTTAAGGTCAAGTTACCAACAAAGTCTCGAAACAAAGGGAAGGCTGTGCTTTTAAAGCGGGACGACAGTGGAAGACAGCACAACACACTCGGCCATGTTACCCCAAGAGCTTGTTGACAACACTTTTCGTGCCTCGTTGTGCAGAAGCGAAGGAGCCAAAACAATGGTGTAATCAGCTTTGTCGCAGTACGCGGGGATGCTCGCAATAGCATCAGCAAGTTCGCCTTTGCTGGCACTCATCTCTTCCATGCTGGCTTCCATATCAGGCACAACACTCAACTGTGGGCAGCTGATGTAGTCATACCAGAAATCCCAGTCCAGGCAGTTGCGCTGTTCTGCATCGGAGGGCATTGGCAAAGGAATACGCAGGAGTTCAGAGACTGTGTCCTTCCGGACTCGTGCCAGGCCTGTCCGAAGATTCTCGAGAGCCGACTGGAGCACTTTGAATTGTTTGAAGTCCGGATCGGGATGATACGTGCCGAGCCATTCGTGACTGATGAAGACGACCTTGCGCGGATGTCCCGGCTCCCACCTGACTAGTTTGCCTTGTTGTAACAGCGTCTCGTGGGGCAAGAGTGGGTGCTCCAATCTCGCCAGCACCGAGCCAGGAATCAGCCACATGGGAAATTTCATCGGAAGGCCACCGGAGGACATAGCCTCCTGAACTTCCGCTCGCATCTCCTCCTCGAAGGTGACACCCGACCATGTGGTCCCCATCTTCGCCTTCTGCGCCGTCTGCAGAAAGTTGAAGCCTGCCTACAAGGGAGCCATCGCCCACGGGGACTTGCAGCGATCTGCAATCTACACCAGATGTCGATCGGCGATTGCTCTGGGCCAAATGGACCTGCTTAAACATGCATGATCAGGAAACACCTCTCGACACGGAAGCAGTGCGGCGCAACATGCATATAGTTCATATCCCCATGCGAAATTGAATGCCCGCCTGCTGAGACAAGCTACCGCCGATCGGAACATGCACGTTGTTTCCCGGGCGAGGAAGTGCATGTGAGGCTTTGGTACAACTGAGACATTTTCTCAGCAATGGGTCCAGGACGCCATCGCGGCATTCACGTCCTCTTAAAAGGGAGCTGAATGGGCTGAAGCGTCCGACAAAAACAACTCCCCAGTCATATCCTCCTGCTCGAAGGGAGCTGAGTGGGCCCAACAAAATCTGTAATTACATCAAGATCATCGAAGGTGGAAAAGAACGCTGTACATCGTCTCGTGCTGTTTACAAAGCACCCACTTGCTGCAGAACAATGTACACGGACCCAAGCACACTGTACATAGTGGAAACAACTAGCAAAGCACGCACACCCAGTCGTCGCCACATGCACATCTCATGCCCCCAAATCTGCAGCATAGCGGCACAAGGGAAAATGAGGCACACGGCATTTGCAGGCAGGATTCCCACCAGATCCCCAATGAAAGCCACGCCATCCTTGAAGAGTACCGCCGTGAGACCAGAAATGCTCAAGACCATGGCTTTCATGATTGTCCGACCTTTCCACTGAAGCATCTCTCCGAACAGATCACCAGTCTTCCCGGAAGCAGATGAAGGTCCAAGTCGCGACCAATGTTCATGGCAATGGACTGCCCAACACTGCCGCCGAAGAACATGTATCCCAATCCACCGAATAGTAAGAGGAAAGCCTCGGCAACGCTCATGCTGTAGATCACTGCCTTGGTCCACTTTGTCCGGTCTGCCATCATCTGGTAAATAAGAGGTGCCTCGCTGTGAGCGAGGAAGCAGAGAAGAGCAATGCCAACAGCGGGTGGAATGCCTGCTGCTTTGAACAGTAATTGGTCTGATGCAGCTCCAGTCGTGAAGGACAGCTCGGCACCTGTAACAAGAATGCCCACGACCAGAATGACCTGAGACGTAATCCCCAACACGGCCATTGCTGAGAAAAACCTTTTTGGGAGAAGGCAGCAGCCGAAGGCCGCGAGACAGCAAAGTACAGCGATTAACCCGTGTCTGAAAGGTAGGAGGAAAGGAAGCTGCTCGATGGCAACGCTCAACAAGAACAGGGCAGATCCTATCAGATCAACAAACATGCAGCCGGCAAAAGCAACGCGGCCAACATTCCCAAAAGCTGCGTAGCCGATAAAACCCCAGTCGCGCTGCGACCGGGGGATGCCCATCTGCTCTGCACTTTCATCGAGCGACTCAAGCAGGAAGCCCATGATCCACAATGTGAAGCCCATGAGACAGCCGACAGCAAGAACCAGCGGTGCAAAACACCATCCCGAGAGCTGGAATGCATACGGCAACAGAACGCTGCTACCACCTACAAGCACATTCGACAGGGTGGCAATGGTTCCAGGCAGCGACACGCCTGGGCTTTTGGACTCCGAATGTTTCATCATGCCGGCCTCACAAGCCTCGACTTCGATCGCATCCGGAATGCCGGACATCTGCGTGCGGCTGCCCGGAAGCCGAAAGCAGGCAGGATGTCGCCTTGAGCCACGAATATCTGTTCATCAGAGAGTTGGCAGAAAATGCAGAAAGCAGCAACACCTGCAGCTCGCGGAGCTCTGGACTTCCTGAAAGCTAATGTCGGGGTTTCAGGCTTATCTCCGTGGACTGCGAGGAGGCAGAGGTCCGTGCGGGTAACTAGCTATCATAGTCGGGTTGCTGACGGCAGGGGTGTTCTGTCAGCTTGAGTAGATGCATGCCTGACATCCTCAAAGTTACAATCTCAACCTATGAGCCCGATATAACCCCAAACAGCCCCAGAGTGGCGGCGGCAGGGGAATGCAAAGCGACAGTCAATGTAGATATGCCGGTAACACACAGATGGCAGGCTAAGAACCTTTAACCAAATGCAACTGCATCAAACAACCAGATACCCTGTAAGTTCTGTAAGTAATCAAGCAAGACTCGTCGAACCTGCGATTTTTACATACAACTTAACCAGTTTCCACTACTATATGCGTCAGATATCTTGCTCAAGGGTTCTTATAACAAGAAAATGCTAAAGCGATAGAATTAGCTTCTGCTGCTTCCAGCTTTAACAGGTTTTCCCTGACACCTAGCTCTGCACAGCTGTTCTCCAAAGTGCCCATGCACTGTTGATAGTGTCATCTTATGTCTCCTGTTCCGTGGATTGGGGAAGCTTCACTTGAAATGAGTGTTTCGAATCAATCGGGGCGGTTCCGGACTCACCAGCATTGCATGGCTTGCTAGCTAAACCAACCACGACGCCATTTGTCTCGGACACGTCTGCTCTCCTGCGCTGCTCAGAGCGGGACCTCACACGAGCGAGCGAACCAGGGAGTCCAGAAACAAAGCACACACTGTCCGTGAATGAGACGGGCGGTTATGTTTTGAATCATGCAGTCGAGGCAGTTTGATGATCGCCTGGCAAAACCCCTGCCCACTGATGCTGTGGTGGCACATTTGATGAAAGTGTTCTCTTCAAACTTCGCGTGCCCATCGCACCTTGACCTCTCCGTGGCAAAGGAATGTACCTTACTTTGGTCGCAATGACATGAAGATCTGCGTCAGTTGTATCTCCTCTTCATACCGTCGCCGCAATCCCACAACAAGATATGCAACAAACACGACTGCCCACCTGCTCCACGAATGCTCTGTTGGAAAGCGCAAAGTTGCCACGAGCTTCCTGCACCTGAGCTCAAGCGAAACACCAATATGCATCCGAAACGTCGCTGTCACTTCCTCTTTGATTTCCGGCACTGACACGAAGCACCTTGCAATTCTCAAGATCTGAAAGGCACCTTGTGCACAGCGTCCCCTGGCAATGCTGCTTCAGCCACGAGGAACGCAGCGGCCACTGCCCCTGCACCTTCGCTGTGCTGCACGAGCAAAAACAGATCCAGCCAGCCTCGCTCTTTCTCATTGTCTCGTAATCCCTTGCAACCACGTGCCGAACATGAAAGTTTGCTTGCTCTTCATCACACCAACAAATGCACCGCAAAATAAAAAGCTCGCTCCATCAATACACCAACTTGAAATACCCCCATAGCTAACGGGCAAGCGATGGAGACGTCGATTCGGTGAGCTTACGGTTTCTGCGTGAAATGCTGGGAATCAAGATGCTGTCAATACTCACAGTACCGGTAGCCGTGCCATGAAATTGTTCAGCGCGGGTCTGGAGACTGCAGAACACTAGACATCTTTTCCTTTTAACCAACCATGACAAAGAGTTTATCCCATCAAAAGGAGTTCATTGCTTAACCGTTACAGTGCATCATCCAACCGCTCAGCCAAATTCGACTTCGATCCTAACTAAACCAACCTAATCTAATCTAACCCAACCTGACGTATCACAAGCAATCCAAACCCATACAAACCCAACCTGAACAGACCGCCGGTTTAACCCCGACCTACCTCTAACCTCATCTAAACCCAGCATAAACCCAAAACCCCTCCCACCCGCCGCAGCCTCACGCACACCGGACATCCAACCCCAACCTGACCCCGCACCGCCAACCTAATCCTGACGAAAGCTACAGCTAAGACCGCAGCATGTGCATTGCCTTTAAAATGCTCTCGGGGATGGTTGGGTCCGGCAGCCAATCTTGAGCCCTTCGGCCGCCAACGCTGAAAGGGAACCATTCTTCAGATGGACCGGCCTGGGGCCTCTTCGAGTCGCAACAGTGAGAACCCTCCCACCGCTGCCTCTCTTGCTTCCTTCGCTGGCAGGCCCCGCTTGCTGTTGCTAAGCTCCGCAGCCTTCGCCTGCCATGTCTCCTCTGCCACCGCCGACATCCCCATGAGAGCATCATGAACCTCAGTAGACAGCACCCGAGCCGCCGTAACTCTGATGGACTCCCGCTTTGCCGTACCGCTCTCGATGTCCGCCCACAAGCGGTCAAGCCCGGCGATGTGCTCCACGCGAAAGAACCTGTATTGCTGTGATTCTTCGGGGCGAAGTTCCACCAGATCCAGCGTGCCCCTCCACCGTTTCCTCAACCCGCCCCAGTCGGTCCTCAAACTCTTGGAGTTTACGTTTCCTTGCTGCAGCGTTTGCCAAGAGAGTGGCAGGGAAAGGCAGGTCAGCACAAAGGTCACCACCAAGAGAGTGCGCATGGCAGGCTCGCTACTCCGAACGCTCGACTGATAACGTCCACACAAGCTTACGACACCTTTGCACGTACCTTCACCTGAGAACATGTTAATAACTTTGCGCACGCTGTCGCCAACCAACCTGCTGGGCTCAGTTGGGCAGGACGTGATGCTGTACCGGCCGTGCCCATCCGTTGAAAACCCATTCGACAAGCTCCCCTGGTGTGAACTCCCTCGCCCAATGTTTGGTGGGCGTCCTGCAGGATGCAACGCAAACATGTCCTGCGAGCCGCCGGATGCGGTGGAATGCACTGCGCATTCCAGCAAGCAGCGATCACGACAGCACAGCACGACGTGCTGCAACGAATCCCTCCCGAGCCGAACCCGACGGGCGGCGCAAGGCATGCTTTTTGCAGCGTCGGCAGCACGTGCATTCAGCTTGCGCAAGGCACCCTCAGAAAGCGTGCATGTGGAGCTCTAAGCTCGAGGCAACGGCTTAGTATGACTCGGAATCCAAGTCAGCGGCACTCGGAAACCTTTAGAAGCACAGCGAGCAAGGCAGTGACTTCATCGACCAGGATGCGAAGCACGCCCCTGCCCGCAGTCGCGTCGATCACAGAGCCGCAGTCAATGATGACGTCGACGACACCGACGAAGGTGACCCGAAGGAGGGCACGAAGCAGTTACATCAACGCAAAGAGCTCCGCCTTATAGGGCCCTTGGTCTTCTCCAGGGATGCCTACGTGTCCCTTCAGGGTCTCCTCGATTTTTCCAAACTTGTCCTCAAGCTCCTGAAGCTTCCGCTTTGGAGCTGCTCTGCGTCTGCCATAGCTGGGCTAGGAAGGGGTAAGACAGCACCGCCACCAGTACATGGCATGCTCACTACTAAGCACACTCGACTGATAACGGCCACGCAGGCACACCGCCAACCTGGTCCTGACATAAGCTACACCCGAGCCTGACCCACCCTAACATAACCCGATCTACTCTAAACCCGGCCCAACCCAACCCGAAATACCCTAAGCTGACCTAATCCCGATCGTAACCCGACCGTACCCAACCAACCCCAACACCCCACTTTGCCCACCAACCCCAACACCCCGCCCTGTCCCCTAACACAACTGGACCCTGACCGGAAACAACACATGACCTAATCTAATTCCCCTGACATAACCTAGCCCAGCATAACCTCACACCAAACCTCTCCCCACATAGGAGACCTCACCCACAGCCTCACCCGCACCGGACCTCCAACCCCGCCCTGACCCGACGCCGCCCACCTAACCCTGACAATAAACTACACCCGAGCCTGACACACCCTAACATAACCCCATATAACCTCAACCCGACCCAACTCAACCCAAAATACCTTAACCGATTATGATTTTGGTTTCTTGGTTGTGTCATCGGTCTGCTTTGGGTTGTGCAATCGGCAGTTTTGGTTGTTCAAGAAAGCGTTTTGGTCGTGAAAGCTTGGTTGGTTCAGCAATCAATTCTGATCCATCATCTACTGTAGCCATCAAAACATGTTAGTCACAGTCGGTACAGCCAGATGCAAGCACTCATACATCTGGATTCCGCTCGATCGACTAGCTGGGAGTTTTCCAGCTGAGTATGGAGGATCCCGAACGGATGTCATATGAACAACGACGCCATGTTAGTCTTCCAAGCCAGGGAACCCTCCAGCAAAGTCTAGAAGTCGTATGCCGTCCTTGTGCCCGGTATTGGGTCTAAAGTGCCTGGAACAAGCTTCCCGAGCCCAGAAACTTGAAATGCATGTACGGGGTCGTGAAGAAAGGCTTTGTCCAGGTTCGAGTGCCCGGCTCCCATAGATGGAACAAACCCAGAATCTGTGAGCAGCACGGTTCTCACCGCGTAGGCAGTGAATGAGCACTCTTCGTCCTGAACGGCGCTGAAGCAGCACAGGATCTCGAACAGACAGGGACCCGCCTGCAGCAACCTGCTCCTGCAAGAATGCGACGGCTGCGGGCAGGTGCTGGCCTTGGCTTCAGAACTCCAGCGCTGCTGCTCACAGGCCACTTTTTGCCACTCGTGGCAACTGCAGAATTCCCGAACTGGCTCAAATGACGAAGCACAAGAGCTCATACCATGTGTTGGATGAATAGCGATGGTGATGGTTTAGTGCTCCGCTGGAAGCGCAAGGTTCTCTGAAGCCGGACAAAGCACGGCGCGCTATCGCTTTCTCGCGCTGTGGCTGCGACCCATATCGTAAGGCTCCATGCCTGGCACTGCGACCTGCTGCAGCTGAGATGTTCACACGCAGATCTGACAGAGGCATGGATCTGACAGCCTCGCCGTCGATGATGATAGGTTCCGCTCGGTCCCGATCTCTGGCTGGAAGTGCACAGTACCTGTGCAACGTAGACACCGCACGATGCCGTGAAGTGACGCCTCAGGGCAGTAGTGACATGCGGGAATCGGGCGCACCTGATGCCAGAGATGTCTCCCAATGCGATACTTTCCGATTGCGGCAGGGCTCTGATTGATGCCTCGATCTCCTCCAGCTCAGGATGGATGCATCCATAGGGAGGGAACCACATGGGGTGAGGTGAAGGAGAAGTCAGGGAAAACGCATGCATCTTGCAACGTATTTTACCGAAGAGCCTAGCGGACCCTGAGGTGCTTGAGCTTTAGACCCATACCCTTCGGCGAGAAGCTCCACAGAAAGGACATGAGATCCCAGCTTGGCTTAAGGCCTGACCTACTCATGTCGCACTAGACGAACTCAAACACACAGTGGAGTCAGCAACAAGCAGAAGACAGTACGAGCGGCGCATAACAGAAGGAGGGAAGGAGAGAGAGAGAGAGAGAGAGAGACAGAGAGAGATGGACAGATAGATATAGGTACATAGATAGATCGGTAGGTAGAGAGATAGATAGATAGATAGATAGATAGATAGATAGATAGATAGATAGACAGAGAGAGAAAGCGAGATAGCGAAATAGCCAAACAGGCAGATGGAGAGATAGAGACATCGAGATATAGAGATAGAGAGAGGGATGGATAATGATAGGTAGACAGACAGACAAATGGATAGAGAGAGTGACGGATAATAAAGAGATGGAGAGATTCAGATAGAGATAGATAGGGTGATAGATGGATACAGATAGACCGAGAGAGAAGCAGAGACTGCATACGGTTCTGAAGCGACTTTACGACTGCAACGGCATGGGAGTGGCCACCAAACAAACTCTTACACAACGCTGTGTTCTGCATTCTCGGGCCCATGCTGGAAGACGACAAGCTGCTGCAGAACCGCAGTAGCCGTTGCGGACCTTGCTTGTGGCTCTTTGCGATGCGCGCTCGTGGTCGCCACTCCGCTGGACTCTGCCAGACGGCTAGCAAGACAGCGGCAGCCTTGTACAGCCAGTCATCCAATGCGCAGTTGACCACAGCGGCCACCTGCAACCTCTTCAGTCGACAGGCAAGACTTTAAGCAGGGAGAGTTCACAGAGTGCCGGACGCATTCTCTCCGAGCAGCACATCAGCCCCATCTTCCTGCACCACGGAGGAGATCTCTCCAGCGAAGGAGCGGAAAGCAGAAGCGGTCGCTGCACTCGCCGCCAGTGAATGCCAGTGTCCTGAGTCCCGACCAACACGTCCGGGAAGCCAGGCAGCGGGCTGGCCGGAAGCAGCCTCAAAGCCTGTCGAGAATCTGCGCGATCTTGCGCTCAAAGCGAATTCAAGACAGCCAATAGCAGGATCAGCAGACACGACCTCTGAGGGCTCGAGGGACATGCCACATTCATTTGATCTTCATGCAAGATAGCTTCATTGCTGAGGGCTTCCTGTGTCTTAGTGACGGGGGACGAGCTGCACAGTTTCTGCAATGTCACATGCGGCAACACTCAACAAGCTTCATCTACACAAAAAGGGCGGAGGGTACTCTGCGGATCCTGATGTCTCGTGACCATCTAACCGAGTTTTTGGGGTGTCGGCAACAAACTCATTCTGCCCGAGTCTCATGTGCTCCGGCGTTGTCATGCATGTAAGCAAGCTTCGAGCATCATGAAGAAGAAATAAGAAGAAGCACCAGTGCAGACACATTGTTCACCTGTGCATTGCAAAGGTGAGATCTCGGCTCTTTCATCTGCAGAGCGACTACGTCGAGCAATGCAGGTGAAACCTTGGCACAAACTGGAGGGAGCAGCTCTGAGACCCGTCTTAACCCAACTTCTAGCTTGACTTCTAGCTTGAAGTATCGATGGCTTCATCTTTGGACTGGAAAGAAGTGCGCTTCCCCCGTCGCCTCGTGCCTCGGACGTGTCCAAAGCTGACAGCCCCTTCAAACCTCGCATCCATTCGTAAGGATCGCGCAAAGTTGGCTGCATCCGCTGGCAGCATTAATGCCGAGACTAGCCTCAGATGGGGAGAGAGAGCGAGGGAGAGAGAGCGAGAGAGAGAGAGCGAGAGAGAGAGAGAGAGAGCGAGAGAGAGAGAGAGGGAGGGAGATATAGATCGGCTAGGTCCTGCTAGGTCCAGGTAGATAGAGAACGCATGACGAAAAAGCAGCTGGGGAAAGGAGTCGACAAAGAGCCTGAGATGTTCTTTTCTTCGCGTTCTGCAGGGTGGGTGGGACGCGTGGCAAAGAGGCAGCTGAACGAGAGACGCCTGGCTTGGATAGCACAAGACTCGCGTAGGTGTCTGGCTCTTTTCGGCGAGTCTTCTCACAACCTGCAGGCAGTCAGCATCTGGGAAGTCCTGCACAGCTTCGCACTTGCCACACGTCCTGCTTCCGATGTGCTTCAAAAGTCGAAAGATATTTAGAAGTCTCTTCAAAGCCTGCCGCTTGTGGGCCATGTAACCAACGGCTGCACAAGCACTTCTTGAAGCCAAGTGCGTACCGCTCCTACCCTCAGCACTCTAGAGAAGCACTTCCGCTGCACGGTCTTCGTGCTGTCACTGACAACTTTGCCAAGGACGAAAGGAGACGTGTCTCAACTTGCATCCTGTCACTGCACTTGCCTTCTGCGCTTTTCCAAATGTTGTGACGGAGACGTTTCCGTGTAGGAGGTGAAGACCACCAGCTCTGTTGCAGCATAGCATTTCACAGCTCTACAGCGTGGCCACCTTAGAAAACTCCCGGCCCTCAGTCTGCGCAAAGAAGAGACGTGACAACCTGACTGTGCAAGCGAAGCACCACCTGTTGGCGTTGGAGGCACAGGCTGTCCTGCGCAAGCCCCAGAAGGGAACATGCTGCCGATTACAGAGCACTTAGCCTGTCCTTTCTTTGCATACTCCTCGTAATTGCGGCTCACCTACCCGGAGAGGCGGTCATCGCATGAAGTCGAACTCCAGATGCACATCCGAAAACACCCAGAGCATCAAGCCTTCTTCCAGTTAACCACATTCCAGAACGCTGACACCTGAAGGTCACGGTCACTTGTGTTCACAGATGGCTTGTGCATCAAGGGAACAACTGTCACCTACTCTCATGTTCCAGCAGATCGAGCAGCGTAATCAGCTCGGCGATTCTGGTACTTCAGGTAGTAAGCGTGCTCCCAGACATCTAGGCCCAAGATAGGAATCAGCTTCTCAACACTGTACTCCAAACCTTCCATGAGCGGATTGTCCTGCACGGCACCATGCATCCAGGATGCCGGAAGCAGATGCCCATTCATGCTAGAGTTACGTAGCTGCACAGTTCTAGCGGGAGATACTGGATAGCCACAGTCCCGACCTGATTAGCAGTGGAGGTCACGGACAAGGACCCCTGCGGGCAGACGATGGAAAAGAAAAATTGGCGTGGAACGATCATGTAAACTTGTGTGCACCAACAGATTTTATCTGAGAGGGCTGCCTGAGGTGTCACACCCAGCCAAGCCCAGCCACTGCCAAATCGACCCATTGCTGCCTTTGAGAAGGCCTGCAGCAAGAAAGGAAGCAACACAACAAAGATGCGAGCTTCAACACAGCACATGAACGCTGAAAAGTCGAAGTCCGAGAAATTCAACCACAAGCTGGCACACAAAAAACTGACAGCTAGGACTGGAAGAGTCATGAATGACAAAGTCTATCTGAACAAGTAGCGACCAAGTCATGGAGATTTGACATTTGCAAAGCTGCCAGCCAGATGTTACAGAGTATCGCTGGGCACGAGAACCCCGTACTGATGACAGATGCCGCGATCCATAAACTCAAAACACATCCCAGTCTACGACAATGTGCTGGACAGTGTCGCACGAATGCTGTCCAAACTTCCAGCGTGACAAAGAACCTGGACCAAGTGAGAAGCCTTGACCCCGTTCCCAAACTGAGCCTCTTTGAGGCCATCGAGGCTTCCGAACTTGTCGTCGATAGCTGCTGCGAGGTCAGGGGAAGGTTCCGAGGAGCCGCTGGCCGGTGCCAGGTTCACCTCGTGCGGCACGGCCACAGCCGGGGGGGGCGAGTGCTGTGTAAAGACACAAAGCCAGCCCGAGCGGCCCAAAAGAGCGCGTGGTTGTAATGGCCACCACCATGGTTCCGGTGTGCTGCTCCTGTCTTCGCAGCATTAGGCTGCAAACTTGTCAGAGCTGTCATGCTTCCTTGGTCGGGGCACAATCACTTGCCCATTTCCAACGCCTACCTCACCTCAAAACCTCGGCATTAATTTCATCCAGCTTGCCATCTGTTGTAGACTTGCTGATGGCAGCGTTCAGGCCAGCGACATAAGCAGCATGGTGCTTCCTGAGTGCACATGACTTTGGCAACGACAGGGATCTCACGGCTGCAGAATGCATAGACATGAAACTCCTCACGAGCTTGATCAATAAGCTGTGCCAAACCTCCCATGGTGAATCTTCATCGTTTCAGCATCGATGTGCGGCTCCAGAGCGTCGTACCTGGAGCGTAGTAACCATAAACCCGAAAACCTCATTGCGACGCCACCAAGAACAAGGGTGATTGTAGAAAATTCGAGTTGTAAGAAGCGTGTGAGTGAATCTGGGGTTTCACTTTCATCACATTTTTGTGCAAGCTCATCATTTTGGCACAAGTGTTAGGACTCAAGAGGAATGTGTCCAGAGTATTCTGTTGTTGTGGAGACGTGTCGTCTTTATGTCTTGCACTAACCTACCACTGACTTCCACCGTCTGCACTGACGGCCCCTCGTTCCCAAGGCACCCACATCAAGACCGGCAAGAATCCCACTTCCCTCAAGTCTTTGCATGATTGAAATCTTTGAGGGTGATGTGAGGATGGAGCAGCAAAGAGCATCAACAGTCACGCAGATCATTTTGGACTCTTGAATCGCCCGACTTTCCTGCCCGAAACAGAGAAACTTCTGAATTTGTCAAAAACGGAACAAAAAATCAAGACCTCTCGTGCGGCTCCCAAAACATACTTATGCCGCTATGTCATGAGAAACGCAACAGAAGTCTGCAGGTCTCTCAATGTGAAAACAGAAAACCTCTGCGTTGGACCTACGAGTATAGCCATGAGCCGTGTTGCTCATACGGCAAAGCTGGCAAGGTGAAGACATCGCCAGCATGCAAGCCACTGGCCGCAAGAGACACCAGCCAACAGCGAAGCCCCAGCATGGCGGCGACGACTTGAGACCCACAGCTGCAGACGACACCAGACCGAGAAGCTCATTGGCACGATCGCTCCTTGCCTCTCGTGCGCATCCTGCCCCTCTTGCGCATCTCTTACCGATGCCTGCCTCTGCTGCAGCAGTTGCCACGCGATTCTGGACGGACTCCTCCCAGTTCGGATTGTTCATCCTGGCAAGCTTTGTGCACTCTTGCAGAGTTTCAGCTCCAGCAACAAAAGTCAGTGTTCAGCACGTCCTCAGCTGTGTATGAGCAGGTGCTGCCTGGTACCTTAACGGCCAGTGTCCATGCCAGGGTCTCTGCTACTCCTTGCCGAGGGCTGTACACACCATGCTCGAAGGCAGTTGCTGCCTGCGCAGAGCTCGAAGAGCCGCCGGGCCGGACGGGCCAGAGAGACCTGGCCTCGCTTAAGAGCTTCTCGCAGAAGTCATTGTTCAGGTAGAAGGCCTCAAGTCAAACGCTGCGAACCGTGCAGTACTGCATAGTACTGCGCAGGGACACTTTCATCGGGCGCAAGCCGTGCAGAGCTCGGGAGACTTGGCAAACGTCTGAAGCAAAACTTTCTCTGCCTCAGTTTCGTCTTCGTCCAGATGACTGGATCTTGATCCGAATTTTCTCTGAGCCACGGGCTTCGTAGACACTGCTTGGCCAGGACGGCCGTCCTGTGCATGCAGCACCGTAGTGCATTGCCGTCACAAAGGTTGACTATGCCTCGCATGTGATGCTTCACTCGGACCCGAAGAATTCGTCGATCCTGCACGAAAGAGAGTTTCATGTCCAGGCTAATGGCCACCGCAGATCTACAGCCGGAGATGATGCCTCTGCACTCAAGTGCCGTTTGTAGTTGGAACACATGTTGTCCGGGTCGCGTGTAGAGACAGGATACTGGACCTTATCAACCAGAGAGTTTCCTCAAGAATGGGATGCAGATCTGGTGACCACATCTGCTGTGATCAAGGCCTCTGGACCCGCTCTGAGCATCCAGCTACAGAGCTGATGCTGTTGCCCGTGCCCAGCTGGCCTTGCAGCGTGGCCTGCCATGCGTGCACAAATACAACTTACCTGTTGCCGGGCGTGTGAAGCTGAAGACTTTTTTGTCGCAACTTCTTGCACATCGATGCGCTTGAAAGTCTGCAAGTGCTCCTTTGATGCGCATTGTCCGTAGCCTGGATGTTGATCAGGCTGTGCGACTGCAGATGGTGTGCCAGCGAGTTCCATCAGGGTGTCCAGCACAGCACGTCTCTCAAATGGACCGTTACAACTTTTGGCCATGGGACGGGGCGGCGACCTGAACATGTCCTCGGGCCCAAGCCTCCGCAAGCTACGACAAGCTTTAAATCTTGATGCAGCATTGGTGCATGGTGCTTAGCTTCCAGAGAGGAATTTCTTCAACATCTCGGTATACTTGCTACTGGACGAAATGTCGTTGTGACCCTTGCCAATAGTCACAAGTCTTCTGGTTGCAGACACAGCTGCATCACAAAGCCGGCGCGAGTGGCTCACTGGCACAATCGTGTCCAGTTCACCATGCAAGATTAACAGCCTTCCTGTGTAGCCTCGCAGCTTATCTTCGCTTCCCATCGTGTGGACGAAGCTTCCCAAGTCCGTCTCTGCAAGCTCCCAGAGACCGCCTGCCACTGCTAATGCATCATGAACCAGTTTCTTGCACAGCTCACCTGTTTGCAACACTGCTGCTGTCAGTTCTGGTGGAGCAAACCGGCTTCCCCCGCTCATCCCACTGCCATCTGGTGGAGGCTCTGGCGGGGCCTCTGCCCCTGGTGCATGGCTCCCACACATCGTCGACTCTAACACCACGCCATCGAACAGGTCTCCGCGAACAGCGGAAAGATGGCAGGCACAAATCCCGCCCATGGAACGCCCGAAGAGAACGAGGCCGCCGGGCCATGGCCACGGCAGGTTGCGGCTCGCAAAAAACTCCGGCAAAGCATCACAGACCTTTTCAGCATCTGTATTCATTGAGGAAAGGGAAGGCCCATTTCCCCCCGTTGAAAATCCGTAGCCCCGGAAGTCTACGATGAGAGCGCTGGCCTCAGCCGCTTGCAGCGGGGCGAAGACCTCTGGATCCTTGTAGGTGTCGACATTCTCTGCATTTCCGTGAAAGTAGAGCACCAATGGCCGGGAGACCCGCGGAGAACCTGACTCCAGCTGCAGAAAAAAACGCACGCCAAGACTGACACCGTCGATGGTCGGAATCCGAGCGTCCATCTGTCTCAGTCCAGGACGTAACTCGACAGTCTCTGGGACGAAGTCAGCACTGCTTGGGGCAAAGTGCCCTGCAGCCCCACTAGACCATCCGACAATGAGCGCCGTCGCGTCCGGCAATCCTTCTGCCAGTGCTGCTGCCTCAGGCCATCGACCTAAACAGATCTGCAACGCCAGAAGAACATGAGCTGCAGTCTCCAACTCTTGAGCAGCTTCCAACTCCCTGAGGCAGGCCTCGAACTTGTACCACTTCCACAGAACCAAACCTCTAACCAGGTGGATCTTTGCTGGCTCGTCGCTAGAAGGAGGAATGCGAAGAAGTTTCAGGGACTCGTTGGCCATCTCGTCGGTGGCGCCAGAACGCAAGGCTGCGAGCGCCGAGTACCACGCAGGCGAAGGCGACGCATGGAGAATCGCTTCCAGCTCCCCTTCGACAGTGTCGGAGTCCAGAAGGGTCCTATCACTTGCCCCACTTCCTGCCTTCTGGAAGTTTATTCTATCGCCGAAGGTCCAGGTTGGGTGTTTCAAGAGTAAGGTCTTCAATTCCGCGATGCTGGGCATCTTGTCGACGAAAACCCGCTGTACGCAGTCTCGAAGGTGTATGACCACGTGCCGATACTCCTCGAATCCCTCGCAGTGCATAGGAACTGCCAGGTCCTTGCCACCTACCTTCAGGCTAATCCATCCATGTGAAGGGCCACAACCATCCAGCAATCTGAAATGCAGGCGGGAGCCACGCGTCTCAAGCTCCTCTACGAGTGTGCCGGTTACCAAACGCGTTCGCAGTTGCTGAGACCTCAGCCCTTCCCCGTCTCGCACCACGATCCCACCTTTGTCTGTGCCACCAACAATCCTCCACACTTGCACCATGGCTTCCGCACCGTGCCTTGTCAAACTTTCGAATGAGAGCAGAGACAGGGACTTCGACAAAGAAGCAGCTATCAAGTTTGACAAACCGCGAAATGTGAAACCTCACTTGAATATTACTTCCTGCAGGATGGCCCTCTGAAAAAGCAGGGATGATCCTGGTGGAGCGCCTTTCTGCGTGCCTTCCATGCGACAGCAGCGGCTTCGTTCATTGGCGGCATGACCTTTGTCCATTGGCTACGTCCGTCGGTCAAAACATTCTGGTGTCATGAACCTCTTTGACAGCCAAAGCCAAAAGCCAGGAAAAGCAACGAAAAACTATCTGATCATCCCGCTTCGCTGCTTGATTAGCTCACTCACACATGGCGTTGTTCGACGGCGCTACGGCTGGGAAAATTCACCCAGGATATGGCTCAAAAAACAAACGACATCAAACCTGAAGGTCGTCACCTTCCTGACCCGAGTGGAGAATTTTTGCAATTCTTGCTGGTGTCTCAGCCAAGCACTAGTGCAGCGCTTTCGTTTGGAGGCGGTATTCACATGCTGGCAGTCATGTGTTGGCTAAGCTGGCAACCACATGCTTCCCCACAGTGTGCAGCGGGTCAAACTTGCGATTGACCCAAGGACCACCCTGGTCAGCACTCAAAGAACACATCCCTCTCATGCTAGTACATGCCACCGGGTGGTCGGCGGGCTGAGCTCCGAGGACCGGCGATGAAGCTGACGCTGCCAGGCCCTCTACAGTCTCCCGTGTTGGGAGCAATGGAATGACAGAACAAAGATCCAAAAAGCAAAACTCAGCTGTGATGCAAAAGCGGGCCTGCATGCTCGCCATGTCCACCCAGGCCAGTGGCAGATTGCCAACCTTGGCCGGGGCCTCCCATTGCGTTTGAACCAAAGCCAGGCAAGCCGCAGCTGACACTGACTCCCAAAGCCCCGCGTCGCTTGACTAACTTCGCTTCAAACAACTGGGCAGCCGACAATTCTTCAAGTGATTAATTCCTATTGAGTGATCGAAAATGCTATAGCATACTACACGTTACGAAGAATGGCAACCGCTTTTTCAGCGGTTGTAATATATTCATGTTAATGTGACTTCAACACGAACACCTGTCCGGTTTTAGATTTAACATTGAATTTGTTTTTTGATGTCGGCGACTCACCGAGGTATTGCCTAATACATGTTTTGACCATTTGTGATGTATGCACATTCATACTCGGACTGTGGCGGGAGGTCGATTCATCAAAACCCCGCAAGACGTGAGCCCAAAACAGCAGACTCCAAACCCGACGACTGCTACAACTGCCAACCAAATTACGGGCTGGGTCGAGCGTCTCCAAAGAATTGTGTCCCAAAATATCTGGAATGTGCTGCCATCTGTAACCAAGGCATGCTCCATCATAGTTCGGCAAAGGGGGGCTTGAGAAGGGGGGGGCTTCTCGAAGGGGGCTTGAGAAGCCCCCGGCGGGGGGGGGAGGGGGGGGTGCTGAAGGTTGAAGGGTTGAAAGGGTCAAGCCCCCCTTCAAGGTCTTGATGAGAAGGTCTTCCAAAAGTTCCTCCTTGAAGTCTCTCTTCAAAACCTTTCAAAACAGCACAGCTCACAGCCAGCGTACAGCTCAGAAAAAACAGCTAGTTTACAAGTGTAAAACAGCACAGCTCTTACAGCCTACAGCTCAAAACAGTGCAGCTCACAGCCTGCGTGCAGCTCAGTAAAAACAGCTGCTCACAAGCGTACATCTTCGTAAAAACAGCACAGCTCACAGCCGCACACAGCACAGCTCACAGCCTGCGTACAGCTCAGTCAAAGCCGCATAAACTGTAAAAACAGTGTCTCTCTCTAGGGAGGGTGTTCCAGTTCTCCACTCTGTGACAGCTACAGGCCCAGGTTCAAGACATGGGTCAGAATTCAGTCCTTTGAGCACTGACGATTCACGGGCCTACGGCCCGCTGCTCGCACGATCGTAGGGGCTCTAAACTCTTTGCAAAACGGGATTTAGAGGCGCCTCAAGGGGGCG